GTGCAACCACTCGGCAGGGCAGGGGTGGGGGTGGAGGCAGGGAAGGGGTGTGGAGTAGGGGCACTAGCAGAAGATTCTGCGCATGTCCTGAAACTTGGGGCAGAATCAGCCCCTGTCCTCCCAACCAGACATGCCTTTCAGGCATAAAACCCATGCATCAGCAGTGTGTGCAGACATGCGGGTGTGTAAACCAAACTAACTTCTCTCCGTTTCTGTCACCATTCTCAATCCAGACACATTTCTTCCCTAGAGGCTCCAAACTTGTATAAGAGAGAAAGACTCTGTCACACCCTGGGAATCAATGGCTGCCATTTTCCCTACAACAGTGATATCCGGGAACTTCCTGCTGTGTGCGAGCAGACAGCTGCACGAAGGACACGAGGCAGCATCGGTCATCTGGAATTTGATTTCACAACTTCTAGACGTAGGAGGAGCAGACTATGAACCTTGTTGACATAAGCGAAGCAGTGATGTTGGTAAAACTTTATTTAATATGATAAAATAGTACAGATTAAACACACATTTCTCTTTATATGTAACTGATTACTTTTTTTATAATCATAAAGCCAACAGTAGGGGCTAGGGAGATAGGTTTGTAGGTAAAATGTTTCCGCACAAGCATGAGGTCCCGAGTCTGAGCCTCATAACTCATGTTTTTAAAAGAAGCTGGACATGGTGGTGCATGCTTCCAGTGTCCTCACTGGGGAGGAAGGCAGGAGCACACTGGCTAGCAGCCTCACTTACTTGGGGAGCTTCAGGTCACATGAGAGAGCCTGTCTGGGTATATGGGGACTGATACTTGAGGTTGTCCTCTGCCCTCCATACATGTGTTCATGTACATGCGTATGCAACTACATATATACCCACAAGAGCATTTGCATGAGTGTGCACATGTACACACACACACACACACACACACACACTGGCATGCATGCACACACACACAAACAAACGTACAAATAAATAACTAAAATATGAAGAGTTCCACAATTACAATAAAATAAGGATGTTGGTAAGCCTGGACTCTACAGTAAGGCTTCTCAGTTTGGGCCTTATTGACAAGTCTTTGCTCTGTTTGGATGGGTAACTCTTACCTCTAATCACTGTTTGCCAACAGCAGTGCCCCAGTCCTAAAAGTTGTACGAATCAATAGTATCTCCAGATGTCATCCAGAAGCTGTCTCCCATGGCTCATATGCACTTCTCTGAGAAGGCAGGAATGAGAGACACCTAGCTAGTCCAGTCCCTTCTCTCTGGTAAGCTCCCTTTTGTGGCTTCTGTTTTCCTAATGGTTTTGACCTTGGCAACCTAAGATTCTTGTGTTTTTCAAAAATTTTCCAGAATATCTGTCTATGATCATCAGTATCAGATGTCTAGTTTGTTTCCAGTTCTTAAGGATTTGTGCAACAACAGAATTTTTGAAACTGGAGTTTTCTGTGTAGCTTCCCCTGTGTAGCAAGGGGAGAAATGAAATAAGGAGGATACAGAATGAATGTTCTTGGCCTGCCAGAGACAAGTGGTGATGGGAAAAGAATACAGACTTCCTAAGATCAGTAGTATTTTTTTATTTATTTAAACAAAATACATTCTAGGGGCTGGAGAGGTGACCTAGGCATTAAGAACACCAATTGCTCCTCCAGAGGGACCAGAGTTTGATTCCCACCACCCATGTGGCAGTTAACAACTGCTGGCCCCATGGGCATTGTACACACATAGTGCATAGACCCCACACACACAAGATAAAAAATATCATTCTAGCAAAACAAGTCTTTACAGGTCCAACCATAACACTGCTGTTTACATCCACCAACCTATTTTTTCAGGTTTATTTTTTCTCAAATGTCAGTCCAAACAAAGCAATGTGACTGCTTCTTTATACTATACCAACAAATTATCAGGGCCAGACTTTACACAACAGGTGAAATAAATGTCTGTGTTGCCAAGGAGTGATTCATTCCTGAGAGGGTCTGGAGAACTCTGAGCTCTACTCAAAACACCCCTCAAACCTGCACAATTTTCTCTTTGTGGAACAGGAGGGAAAGCCACCTCTCATATTTGAACCTGACACCAAATGCTCACTACTAATTCGGAGCAGGCAAACTCAGTAACTCTTCAGGGGATAGCAGGAATGGACTCTGAGAGACCACTCGAAACTCTGGAGTCAAGCGAAGTATTCCTTAGTCATTTCTTATTGGTCCACTTATATTTGTCCTTCTGGAACATTAAGCTACTAAAGGCTGATGTTTGTGTAGTTCACTTTGTGGGTACCTACCTCTGCACAGAAGAGGAGCCCAGAAGCATGTGTTGAATTGAACTGAATTTGGTAAATTCACTCACAATCTTTTCATGTCATGTAAAGTGAACGGACTGAGGAAAGATGGTGGGGGAAAGGAAGAACAGGAGAGAAGAAATAAAACCATGAAGGAACACAGGAAGGGAACATGCTGGAACATTTGCTCATATGTGTTTACGTACCAGAAATTCTTAAGAGATGTGATATGCCCTTTGAAACTATAACAGGGTTGTAAAGGATAGTTGCCTCTTCGAAGATAAAGGTCATTATTATTAATGAGAACTAAATTAGTACCATTCTCCTCCTGTCCCATGGTTGTAAAAAGGAGTGGAGAAAGAATGCATACTGCAACTTAGGGTACGGATAGAGCTCGTTTCCTGTCCCTTTTTGATTCAAAGCTCTGCTATTGCCTGAGTTTTTCTGTGGCCCTGCTTGAGAGGATGAGGGAAGACAAAGCATGTCTTTATCCTTTGGCAGCTATGACTTGACTGGTGTGTGAATGGTCTCCCTTTACAGCAGGAACTTGGGTCATGTGAAGGCATTTCCTCCAAATGTGAGATTCGTCACTCACATCTGGATTTTCCATCATAAAATAGATTCTGCAGCACCCCGCAGCTCTTTCCACTGGATGGTCCACGAAGAGCCAACCATACCCACTGGCTCACAATGGCTGATGAGAGCTTGGCAAGAACAGTCAAAATGGAATGAGCCTTGATGTGTGGTAAGAGACACTTCAGATGACCACAAGAAAGGTTTCCTTACCAGTGAGGAAGCCTGACAACCAGACTCAAGACACACAGGTCACATAGACAACACAGGTCACATAGGCAACACAGGTCACATAGACAACACAAGTCACATAGACAACACAGGTCACATAGACAACACAGGTCACATAGGCAACACAGGTCACATAGATAAGACAGGTCACATAGGTAGCACAGGTCACATAGACAACACAGGTCACATAGGCAACACAGGTCACATAGGTAGCACAGGTCACATAGACAACACAGGTCACATAGGCAACACAGGTCACATAGACAACACAAGTCACATAGGCAACACAGGTCACATAGACAACACACGTCACATAGATAAGACAGGTCACATAGGCAACACAGGTCACATAGGCTACACAGGTCACATAGACAACACAGGTCACATAGACAACACAGGTCACATAGGCAACACAGGTCACATAGGCTACACAGGTCACATAGACAACACAGGTCACATAGGCAACACAGGTCACATAGGCAACACAGGTCACATAGGCAACACAGGTCACATAGGCAACACAGGTCACATAGGCAACACAGGTCACATAGACAACACAGGTCACATAGACAACACAAGTCACATAGACAACACAGGTCACATAGACAACACAGATCACATAGGCAACACAGGTCACATAGGCAACACAGGTCACATAGACAACACAGGTCACATAGACAACACAAGTCACATAGACAACACAGGTCACATAGACAACACAGGTCACATAGACAACCACATGAGAGATGCAGCATTAGTTACTTTCTTATTACTCTCTCCCATGACAAGACACCAGATAAAAGGGATGGGAGTAAAGGTTCATCTCAGTTTACAATTTGAGGAAAAGACGACTGACCAGGGAGAGGAAGTCACAGTGGCTGCTTGTCACATTGCATCCACTTTCAGGAAGCCAGGGATGAAGAGCACTGGTGTTCAGTTTGCCTTCTCCTTTTCATCTATCCAGTCTCCATCCCATGGAATGGCACCACCCATGGTTAAGGCAGTCTTCCCACCTCAGTTAACCCAACACAAATAATCCCTCACAAGCATGTCCAGAGGCTAACACAATTGTTACATAATTTCTCGAAGGCATACTCAGGGACTGGTCTCCTAGACAGTTTGGCATCCTGTCAAGTTGATAAGGAGTACCAACCATCTTAGATGCCATGATAGAATCTGAGGTTTTTGAGGCAAAGTGTGTGCAGAGAAGAACCCTTTGGTTTTACTCAGTAGGATTTTAGCACTTAATCAAACAGGTAGACGGAATAGAGAGAACACACTCAATACTGGAAGTACAGTCTAGACAGTTCAGTGGATGACCAAGTCCTAAATGCTCACACCTCTAGTGAGTAGGTAGGCTTCAAGGATTTAAGTTATCTATTAAGTTCTCTGGAACTCATTTTTAGAGAGTGAAAAGAGCAAACTGTGGTTGACTGAGGAATTAGACTCTTAAGCAAAGAAAGAAGCCAGGTCCTATATACAGACTGTAATTCCTACCCTAGGACAGGAGGATCCTGAGCCTGAGGACAGCTTGGACTGCTAGCATGTTCAAGGCCTCCCTGAGCTCCATAGCAAGACTGTCTCAACAAAATGACACTAAGCAAAAGCAAAGAGCAAAGACAAGAGAGGGACGGTGAAACTTTGACAATGAGGGATGTTTCAGAGGCCCCGGAACTAAAACCCCACAGCCACTCTGTCCAGGACATCAGAGCTCCAAAGTAAGCCCTGGCGCATGCAGGGAGGGCACAGCACCTGCCGTCTGGCAGACCTAGGACTATTCCCACTGACTTCCTAAGGTCAGAGCCTGTATGGAATGGTGCTCTGAACTGCTCTGAACTATGAACGTTTGATGATGGGTGCCTTTCCCTGGCTCACTCCCTCTATTATTTATCGGACCATGAGCTCTGCAGATACCAGGCTGTGTTAGAGAAGCTGCTTGAGAGCACACCTGAAACAGAAGCCAGGGAGGTAGGCAATTGACCGATGAGGTACAGACGATAGCCTCATTCCCAGTGTTATCGGAGGCATCATGGATACCACATCTACTGATTGGCTAGAAGCACGGTCCAACACCACTGGTGAGTTCATAAGTCGTAGCTTCCCCCAGGATAGGGGAAACACCATTGAGGTACTTTACTATGAACCAACTTTCTCTATTTCCCAACCAAGAGTATATGGAGTGGACCTGCTTATTATTTTTCTAAAGAATAACGATGTGAAGAGGAATGGAAAAGATTAAAATGGTAAACATAGGCAGGTGTGTTGGTGGATGCCTGTGATCCCACCACCCAAAATGCTGGGGTAGGAGGGTCACTAGTTCAGGACAAGCATGGGCTCCATAGCAATAACCTGGAGAAAGGCAAACACAGGAGGTGAGAGCAGACTGGAGGAGTGATCCATTGGAGGAAAAGGGGAAGGTAGGGAGCCAGAGGCACAGGGCAAGATTCCCTGGATTACCCGGAGCAAACTTAATCAGCCTTGTGGGCTTGAACAGAATCAGCCCATGGGATGCAATGTACTCTTTTTTTCTACTGGTTACTGATTAGACATTGGGTTTGAGATCAAAGTGCCTTAATGCAAGTGATAGTCCAGACTCACTTCTAGCCAAGAATCCAGAGGTAATTCAGGCTTCAGGGATGGTTTGCTTTGCTGAGAAACTGCAGAAGCACCTCAGCTCATTTGCAAGTAGACTTTGTCAGTTTTATTTGCTGCCACAGACCCTTCATGCTTTCTGATATTTTTTAAAGAAAAAAACAGCTAGATTCTCAAAGCTCTTCTCTGAAATTATATCCTCATCTATCATTATCCATTATGTGGGAAAGGCAAGGAAGTATAGAAATGCTTATTCTTTTAGTTCCCAATTCAGCTTATTTGGGAAGATCTTTACTTGTCATTTCTTTTTTGATAGTGATACAGTGACTCTGGAGATGCCCTGAATGGAATTAGAGTCTGATGAGGTAAAAGAAAAAGCCACTACGGTTGCACAAGGGGCTGGAGACAGGTCCTTTCCCTATAAAGTGCCTTGTGGTGGGATTCCTAGAAAATAATTGGCCAATGGCTGGAGAGGGAGAAAGATCTTAAGTGGTTGTTAATTGTCCTAGAATTCTGAGCTATCACCAAGTAAATGATCTCATTATTGCCTTAGAGGATACCCACATGGTTCACACTGCAGAACCGATGGCTGGCTGGTAGGGAGAAAGCCCCACACCATTGGGTGTCATAGACTCTGCTCTGTGCTAAGATTTGTGACACGAGGTCAGCCAGAGGGCTGCTTTTCCTACATAGTGACCATTTCTACAGGGAAGACTATGAGAAAATTAGTATTGCATAAGAGCCATCTCAATAGGAACAGAGTCTTATTACCACATTGCCATCATTTTAACTCCTAAGAAAAAACTGGACACAGAAGCCTATGGTCTGTGTATTTGTGTCACGTAAATGTTAACTTCTATTTTCACATTTGCCTTGAGTTAAGGTACTAGCATAAGAATTGCTGAACAAGGTTGAGGCAGGAGGATTGCAAATCCCAGGTCAGTTTTGTCTTGGAAGGTAAAACAAACAAGGAGCTGGAGAGTCAGCTCAGCAGTTAAGAGCACTTGCTGCTCTTGCAAAGGACCAGATTAGGTTCCCAGTGCCCACAACCAACTGTAACTCCAGCTCCAGGGATCCAGTGATGCTCTCTCCTGATTTCTGCAGTCTCCTGCATGCACACGGTATGCCTATATACAAAAAACAAGCAAATGGTAAATAAATTGCGGCAGTACTATTAGAAGAGGTATACACAGTAACAAACAAAATGTATTTTGTAACAGTGGACTTCATAACCTCTCAAAGAAACTTACATTTGCTGGACCAGAGATCAAATGCTTGATATAAAAAGAGTAATGTCAAAGTCTGCTACAAAGTAACAAGAGTAAACTGCAAGATAGAAGGGCAGTAAGATATTTAAGTCTGTTTTCTTATTTCAGAAACATTAGTATCTATAGTGACTCATCCTGCAGCTGCCATTAAGAATACCAGCAATACTAATTTCTGACAGGGATGTAAGTGACTACAACCTACCTATGCAGCCACCTATGATTACTATGTGATCATTGTAATCACCAACACACGGCAACTCACACAAGATCTGCACACAGAAAAGACATAAAAATAGGAGAGTGTATATTAGTTATTGTTCTGATGCTGTGGTAAAACACCAGGACTAAAAACAGCTTAAGGAAGAAAAAGTTTATTTTGTCTTATGGCTCCAACAGTATAGAGTCCATCTTGGCAGGGAAGGAAGCTGACCACATTGTATCCACACCCAAGAAACATTGAGCAAACAGTTATTGGGGTGAGGTTAGAAACACTCAAAGCCTAACCCCAGTGACACCCTTGCTACAGGAAGGCTCTGTCTTCCAAAGGCTCCATAAGCTCCCTAAACGGCATCATCAGTTGGGGACCAAGTGTTCAAATACTTGAGCCTGGGTGAAAATGTCTCATTTAAGCTGCCAGAGAGAGGCTCGTTGGAAAGAAAGAAGTTATCAGGGGTGGGGATAAGACAGGGTGATGAGGGGTATTGTGGTGGTTTTTGAGTAGGAATGACCCTCATTGTCTCATAGATTTGAGTGCCTTGTCATCAGGGCCCGGCATTGCTTGAGAGGAATTAGGTGGTGTGGCCTTGTTGGAGAAAGTGTGTCGCTGGTGTTGGGCCCATAGTTTCTTTCTTCCTGCTGCCTACAGATCCAGATGTGAAACCCTCAGCTTCTTCTCCAACAACACATCTACTCGTGTGCCTTCATGCTCCCTGCCATTATGACAATAACTGATCTTCTGAAACTGTAAGCCATTCCCAGGTAAACACTTTCTTTTATAAGAGTTGCCAAGAGAACACTGACTTGGACAGATGTGTGTAGTCACAATACATTATGTACATATATAAAAAGGGGGAAAAGAAGGGGAACTAAAACAATACTTAGGAAAATGTAAGTTTCTATAAATATAATGCTAGGTGGGTACCCTGTGATCCAATATTCTACTTCTAAACATTACCTAAAATAAATGAAAACGTGTTCCCCAAAAGCACATGTAAATCATTCACAGCAGCTATGTTTATAGCCAAGAACTAAGTTAACCAAAAAATGCATTAACACATGAACAATTAATTGGCTGCCAATGCTGACCAATAAAAATAAAGTAATGGTGTACACAGTAGAGCATGCGTACATGAATAACACAATGCTAAGCAAAGGATGGCGGACACAGGTGGAAACTTCCATCCTTTATATGAAGACAGAATCCATGCTGAAAATCAAGAGGGTTGACTAAGGACAAACACAAATGTGCATGAGCACGGAGGGCATTTGCCGTTCTGATTATGGTCAAAGTTAAATGATCAAAACTCATCAAAGGGCCATGCATTTTCCTCTCTGTAATTTGTACTCCAGTAAAGAGAAAAAAAGCAAAGCAACCTGTCATGGTCATAAAAAGGAAATGTATGACCTTTTCAACTTGCTCTTATCTCCTTAATATGACCTACTTTAAAATGAATTTATCTTGTGGACTATCCCGCTGTCACACTTTAGGCTGAAAGTACACTTAATGAAGCCAGGCAGAGGTCCACAGTTCACCTCTGTGCTTTCCGGTGTCGATCTTTATTATTATTTTTTTCAGTACAGGATCTCATTATGTATCTCAGACTGTCTTGGAACTCACTCTGCCGACCAGGCTGGCCTTGAATGAACTAACAGAGACTGACCTGCTTCACGTGGTCACGTGGTTGATCTTTTTTTTTCTTTTCTTTTCTTTTCTTTTTTTTTTTTTTTTTTTGGTTTTTCGAGACAGAGTTGTTTCTCTGTGGCTTTGGAGGCGTCCTGGAACTAACTCTTATAGACCAGGCTGGTCTCAAACTCACAAAGATCCTCCTGCCTCTGCCTCCTGAGTGCTGGAATTAAAGGCATGCGCCACCATCGCCTGGCTTTTTTTTCCTTTAAATTTATTTATTTTTATTTTGTGTGCATCGGCGTTTGGCCTACATGCATGTCTGTGTGTGGGCGTCGGGGCCTACATGCATGTCTGTGTGTGGGCGTCAGATCTTGGAGTTACTGACAGGTGTGACCTGCCATGTGGATGCTGGGAATTGAACCAGGGTTCTCTGGAAGAACAGTCAGTGCTCTTAACCATTGATCCATCTCTGCAACCCCTGATCTTTACTTTTTAATCCTAAATGTAGTAGTTTTTTTCAGTGCTGAAGATCTAACCCAGTCACTCACTTGCTAGACAAGGACTCCACTAAAGAGCCACAGGCCCAGCTTTGCTTTCTTCTTAAGTAACTTTAAGTATTTCAGGATTGTTTGATGGGCTTAGGTACTGCCTCATTAATTGGATTTTGAGTTAATAAAGGTGGAGTCAGAGAACCTGAAGGAATCAGTTTCGTCTAACATGTAGGTCCCAAGGGTCAAGCTCAGGTACTCATATTTTTTCTATAGTTACAAATGTAAAGAAAGATAAACTGGCTTTGCCTCAGAGTCAGTCTTCCTAGGGTTACTGAAATCAATTCACCGGTGATTTGGTGTCGCGCTGTCTCAAAGGTGATGGATATGATGTCTTTTAAGTAAATTACCTAGCATACAGCCAGCAGAGTCAGTCACTGTGAAACAAGGGTCATCAGGATGATTTCCCTGTTGTGATGAAGCCTAAGCTCCCTGGAGACTGGTTCCTTAGAAGCAAGATTTGAAAAATGGTCCCTTAATTCAGTTTGCTATCAAATAATTTCCCTCAATGTGGAGAACTATGAATCAGTAGAGTTCTGGCTCGGTCAGTCGAGGGCGAGTCTGGACCCATTTGTGGTTGAGCTGTGTCCATCATTCTCATCTCCTTCCCTTATTGACACTCCTCAATCAACTAACCTGACAGTGCTACCCTGGCATCCTGTGCTTGGAAGCAGCTTGGTAATTAGCAGATACGTATGTAGTCTGTGCCTTTGTGGAAAATAACATTGTTTGCTGCACTACCAATCAGGCCAGAGCTGTAACTCTAAGTATGGGTCAAATTTTATACTTTTGGAAACCCCAATCTCTCTCTCTCTCCCTCCCTCCCTCCCTCTCTCTCTCTCTCTCTCTCTTTCTCTCCCTCTCCTCTCTCTCCTTCCCTCCCTCCCTCCCTCCTCCCTCTCCCTCTCTCCCTCCCTCCCTCCCTCCCTCCCTCTCTCCCTCCCTCCCTCTCTCTCTCTCTCTCTTTCTCTCTCTCTCCTCTCTCTCCTTCCCTCCCTCCCTCCCTCCTCCCTCTCCCTCTCTCTCTCCTTCTCTCTCTCCCTCTCTCCCTCCCTCCCTCCCTCCCTCCCTCTCTCCCTCCCTCCCTCTCTCTCTCTCTCTTTCTCTCTCTCTCCTCTCTCTCCTTCCCTCCCTCCCTTCCTTCCTCACTCCCTCCCTGTCTCCCTCTCTCCTTTGCTCCCTCCCCCACCCTCTCTCTCTCAAACTTTCATTTTACTTTTTGTCTGTTTTTAAAAGACAAGATCTCTCTTTGTTGCCTAAGCTGTCCTTAAACTCAGTATGTAGCCCACTCTGTCCTTGAACTCACTGCAAATCTTCTTCCTCCATCTTCTTGGAATTATAAACATGTGCTACCACCCTGGGCCCATTTTCTTGAAGTGAATGTAATTTCTTTTGCTTTCATCTCTTCCAGCTTTGCATGAGGGATGTTGTGCATGAATCAGAGACAGAGAATTTCATGTGATGTTCTTCTGAAGCAGGTCATTATTTTCTTTAAAATGCCTTATTAAAAAAAAAGACTTTCCAAGAACAAAAACCAGAGACTCGTGGATATGCTGGATGGGGGCAGAAGGAACACAGCCAGAAAGAGGCAACAGGAAGCAGGACCTTATCAGGCTGCTCAAATTGCAGGGAACCTCAGAGAAGGGAGCTGTCAGAGGCAGAGATGGCGGGATAGACATAATGATGGTCACAACCATTGCCTCCACAGCGGGAGCTGAAAGCTACGTCAGGTTCGTAGACACCTGTGGTCTGCTGGCCCTCTGGGCACACAGGCAAAGTTAGGTGTGGTCTCTGCATAGTTCCTCTGCTGTCTTTATGATGTCTTCAGACTGTTGCCTTTAATTGCCAGTTCGCCACTCTTAGGGGACAAAATAGCTGCTGTGCTTCAAGGCATCTTCCACTCAAGGAAAAAAGAAAAAGCGTATTGTGTGGGGACATCGTTAGACTTGAATCCTTTTGTCTCGCTCATCTCCTCCAAATCCCTACTATGGTGTTTCTTCTAAATGACCGTCATTATTCACTGAGTCCCCCACTCTCCTAGCAGAGAACAGGAAATAGCAACTGGTTAGGAAGGCAGGGGCCTCAAATCACAGTTCCAAGAATGTCCTAGCTGGAGGCCAGGAATGCCAGGAGGGTTCTGCCTTCTTGTTACCCTTTCCCTTATGTGGGAGCTATCGCTGAGGATTGGACTGAAATTACCAGCAGGCTCCTGGACACCACATGGTCAGGACAAAGTGAACTGATCAGTTCATACCCTCCATGTCACCCCACTTCTGCCATAAGTCCTTTAAATAATCCCCCAGACTAGCCGCTTAAGGCTATCCCTTCTTCAGGGATGTCCCCTGCTATGCGGAGCTAGCCTTTTCTTCATGTTCCATGAGTTTCCTTCTTCATATATGTTAGATAAGAGCCAGAGAGCCACTGGCTTCATGCAGACTGGTCCTGCAGCTTTAGCAGATCTTAGCCTCCTAGGCTAAGTTCACCAAGACCCAAGGCACTCTCAAAGGGCTCCCCCAAACTCCTTTATCAGCAGGCAGGGAGACAAGTGCTTTCTTCCCTCCCCACAACATTGTGCAAGCAGACTGCTTCCCCAGAATACACCACATCTCTGTTTCCTTCTTCCCAAAGTGTGTGAGGCGCCAATATCAAATCATTTGTTTGAGAAACAAAAGCTCCCGTAGAATTCAACAAGTTTTCTTTACGCTGTGTTGTTCTGAAGTCGGTCACTTGGCCTAGACAACATCAAGAGAAACTGGGAAAGGAAATATCTAGTGACCAGGTGGCAGGTGAAAGGGGTGAGCATAAGTGCAGTGTCTACCAAATGAATCAGAACACCTTTGAATAGATAGAGAAATTTCCCCAATAACTTTGAGGTTCAAACATGAACCTGCCATAGGCTTTTCCTAATGCTAAACACACTTGTATAAATGTATGGTTTTGTTATTTGTACATAATAAGATTGCAGCTTATTGCACTATGTGCTGTACATTAGCATATTGTGAATATATTTTAAAATATGCATCCTTGCAGGACACATTTATAATACTCAGTAGCCATATTTTCTCTTCTGTGACACATTTTAGCTAGCTGTTCAAGTTATTAGGTTTAGGGTTCACGAGATACACTAATGTGGACTGTCCCTTTGAATGACAGTACCTGTTAGAGTACCTGTCAATGCCATGGAAAGAGCATTACAGTGGTTCTGAGGAGAGGCCAGCCACATGGCAGAATCGGGGTCCTTTGTTGGAGGTTTCACAGTAAGGAGAGGTTTCATGGCACATAGTTGACAAGTTTCCCTAGAGCAAATAGAATTCTGTGGTTCCCAGAGGGAAGAGATGACTTCATTTTGAGGAACGTGTGACCTTGAGGATTTGGATAGGAATGGATGCCAGGGGCTCATTGAGTTGATGCTCATCTATCACAGAGGGTGCCCCTGCTAGCCCCTGAATGTGTGGAGCCTGTTAGCCCAGGGCCTTACCCAGAATCTGCTTTGAGAGAGAAGAGAGATGGCAGCTGATGGGTGTGGCCTGGGCAGCATCTGAACTGGATTCTAACAGCTCTATCCACCGTGTGCTTTTAAAATGAGGGTAAATAAAAATCATGCTACTAAGCAAGTAAGAAACCATCTCAGGGGGCTGAGGCAGGAGGATTTCAGGTTCAATGCCAGCCTAAACTATATAGTGAAACCCTGTTCCAGGACATGTTTCCTCCTTTATTTTTCTTTTTTATGGTCCTGGCTCTATGCTATATGGGAAAGTATTATTATTATTTTAATCAGAAGTGGTCAATATTGTTATTATGTAGATCTATTTAATTTAGAAACAATCTTATTTTGCATGTCAATCACAGTTCCCTCCCATCCTCCCATGCCCCCAACAAACTTCCCCATCCCACCCCCATCTACTCCCCAGGGAAGGTGAGGCCTTCCATGGGGGATCATCAAAGTCTGTCACATCATTTGGGGCAGGGCCTAGGCCCTCCCTTGTGTATCTAGACTGAGAGAGTATCCTTCCATGGGCAATGGGCTCCCAAAGTCCATTTGTGCACAAGGGATAAATATTGGTTTCACTGTCAGAGATCCCATAGACTGCCCGGGCCTCCTAACTGATACCCACATTCAGGAGGCTTGGTTCAGTCCTATTCTGGCTCCCCAGCTGTCAGACTGGGGTTCCTGAGCTCCCACTTGCTCAGGTCAGATGTTTCCATGGGTTTCCCCAGCATGGTCTTGACCCCTTTGCTCATCACTCCTCCCTTTCTGCAACTGGATTCCAGGAGATTGGCTCAGTGCTTAGTTGTGAATGTCTGCTTCTGCTTCCATTATCTACTGGATAGAAGGCTCTAGGATGGTATTTAAGATAGTTATCAATCTCATTACAGGGGAAGGGCATTTAAAGTAGCCCCTCCACTATTGCTTAAATTCTTAGTTGGGTTCATCCTTGTGGATCTCTGGACATTTTCCTAGTGCCAGACTTCTCTTTAAACCTGTAATGGCTCCTTCTATTAAGGTATCTCTTTTCTTGCTCTCCTCTATTCTTCTCCCGACTCAATCTTCCTAATCCCCTATGTTCTCCTCCCTACTCCTCCTCTCCTCTCCTCTTTCTTCTACCTCCCTCCCCCTCTCACTGTGTTCCCAATTTGCTCAGGAGATCTTGTCCCTTTCTCCTTCTCTGGGGGAGCCATGTATGACTCTCGTTAGGGTCCTCCTTGTTTCCTAGCTTCTTTGGAGGCGTGGATTGTAGGCTGGTAATCCTTTGTTCTATGTCTAATATCCAGATATGAGTGAGTATATACGATGCTTGTCTTTCTGTGCCTTGGTTACCTCACTCAGGATGGTTTCTTCTAGTGCCATCCATTTGCCTGAAAATGTCAAGATTTCATTGTTTTTCCCCCCACTGAGTAGTACTCCATTGTATATGTGTACCACATTTTCTTTACCCATTCTTCAGTTGGGACATCTAGGTTGCTTCCAGGTTCTGGTTATACAAATAACGCTGTTATGAACATAGTTGAACATATGTCCTTGTTGTATGAATGTGCATTTTTTGGGTATATGCCTAAAAGTGGAATTGCTGGATCTTGAGATAGACTGATTCCATTTTCCTGAGAAACCACCATACTGATTTCCAAAGTGGCTATACAAGTTTGCACTCCCACCAGCAATGGAGGAGTGGCTATACAAGTTTGCACTCCCACCAGCAATGGAGGAGTGTTCCCCTTTCTCCACATTCTCTCCAGCATAAGCTGTTGTTGGTGTTCTTCATTTTAGCCATTTTGAGTACGAGGGTATCTCAGAGTTGTTTTGCTTTGCATTTTCCTGATGATTACGGATGTGGAGCAATTTTTCAGTGTCTTTTAACCATTTTAAATTCTTCTACTGAAAACTCTGTGTTTAGTTCTGTACCCCACTTTTTAATTGGATTATTTGGTGTTCTTGTGACTAGCTCCTTGAGTTCTTTGTATATTTTGGAAATCAGCCCTCTGTCAGATGTGGGGTTGGTAAAGATCTTTTCCCATTCTGTGGGCTGCCATTCTGTCTCCTTCATTATTCTTTATTATGAACGCAATTACAGGCTGTTGAATGGTGCTTCTAAATGGAAGCCAGATTACTTTTTTGGAAAATTGGTTTTATTCAAGTTAAGACAAACTAACATGTACATTCTTGTCTCTTTTCTTCTTCCTTTGTTTTTGTTTTGATTTTTGTTAAGAAGGATGAGTTATGAATATCTAACAGGAAAGTCTGCAAGCTGGCTATGAGCTTGCTCACCAGCTGTCACTTCCCCAGAGCTCATAGCCTGTTGTGAGGCTCACCATCAGTTATCTACTTGTGAGGGAACTGCTGGCTGCGGTGAGTTCTACAAGAGCATAATAGATGAGTGCACATAAATAACTATCATCCAATCATGTAGAGCATTGACTCTCCTCCTGTCAGGTCAAGGAATCACTGAAACCTCACACATTCTGTTACTGGGTGGAGCTGTCAGACCTACTGCCATGGGTGGTTTTTATCCAAGACGCTGCTGAGACACCTGATGCCCATTCACTAACTAATTTCCTTTATTTAGTCTTGGCTGCATTCTGGAAGGCAGAGAAAGGCAGGTGTCTGATCCGTTGTCAGTGCAGAGACACATCCTTCATTGGAAACAAGTTTGTGCTATTTTCAGATAGGTTAAAAAGTCAAATTTACATGATAATCTCTTCAAGCATTCATTGTATCTGTCTTGGTTGTTGGTCTATGGCTATGAAGTAATAGTATGACCATGACCAACCAAGAGATAGTCTAACACTTATGAAAGAAAGCATCTAACTGGAGCTTGAGTACAGTTTCAGAAGTTAGTCTGTTATCATCATGACAGGGAGCATGGCTGCACACAGGCAGGTATAGTGCTGCAGAAGTAGCTGAGAGTTCTTCATCTGGATCTGAAGGCAACAGGAAGAGAGATACTGGAACTGGTTCTGGCCTTTGAAACCTCAAAGCCTACCCCTAGTGATACACTTCCTCCAACAAGGACACACCTCCTAATCCTTCTCAACTAGTGTCACTCCCTGG